GGAGCCCGCGGAGAACAAAGGGGTGCCACAGGCCAACCTGCTGAGCTCCCAGGACAAGGAGGAAGAAACCAAAGAAGTTCTCAATGTGAAGAAATCAAGTGAGAGCAAAAAATAGTAAAATTACTTAAGAAAGAATACAAAGAAGATCTTGAAAAATCAAAGACTAAGTCAGAACTCAACTCACCAGCCAACATTGCAACATAAATGCGTTTTAAAAAGAAAAAAAAAAGGACAGAATGTTGGAACAGCAACGGCCAGGCCTAGAGTGGCCAGGCACAAGGCAGTGGCAGCCAGACCCGGAGCAGCAGCGGCCAGGCCCCAGAGCAGCAGCAGCCAGAACCAAAGCATCAACAGCCAGCACTGGAGTAGCCAGACCTGGGGCAGTGGCAGCCAGGCATGAGGCGGAGGCGGCCAAGCCCAGGGTGGCCAGTCCAGGAACACCCAGACCCGGAGTGGCCGGGCCCGGAGAAGCCGGGCCCAGAGCAGCCGGGGTGGGAGCAGCCAGACCCAGAACATCAGTAGCCAAGCCCAGAGCATCCAGGTCGGGAGTGGCCAGGCTCGGAGCGGCCGGGCCCGGGGCAGCCGGGCCCAGAGCAGCCGGGTCAGGTGCAGCCAGGCCCGGAGCAGCAGCTGCCAGGCTGGGAGCGGCCAGGCCCGGGGGAGCAGTCGGGTCGGGTGCGGCCAGGCCCGGAGCAGCGGCTGCCAGGCTGGGAGCGGCCAGGCCTGGGGGAGCAGGCGGGTCGGGTGCGGCCAGGCCCGGAGCAGCGGCTGCCAGGCTGGGAGCGGCCAGGCCCGGGGGAGCAGGCGGGGCTGGTGCGGCCAGGCCCGGAGCAGCGGCTGCCAGGCTGGGAGCGGCCAGGCCCGGGGGAGCAGGCGGGGCTGGTGCGGCCAGGCCCGGAGCAGCGGCTGCCAGGCTGGGAGCGGCCAGGCCCGGGGGAGCAGGCGGGTCGGGTGCGGCCAGGCCCGGAGCAGCGGCTGCCAGGCTGGGAGCGGCCAGGCCCGGGGGAGCAGGCGGGTCGGGTGCGGCCAGGCCCGGAGCAGCGGCTGCCAGGCTGGGAGCGGCCAGGCCCGGGGGAGCAGGCGGGGCTGGTGCGGCCAGGCCCGGAGCAGCGGCTGCCAGGCTGGGAGCGGCCAGGCCCGGGGGAGCAGGCGGGTCGGGTGCGGCCAGGCCCGGAGCAGCGGCTGCCAGGCTGGGAGCGGCCAGGCCCGGGGGAGCAGGCGGGGCTGGTGCGGCCAGGCCCGGAGCAGCGGCTGCCAGGCTGGGAGCGGCCAGGCCCGGGGGAGCAGGCGGGGCTGGTGCGGCCAGGCCCGGAGCAGCGGCTGCCAGGCTGGGAGCGGCCAGGCCCAGGGGAGCAGGCGGGTCGGGTGCGGCCAGGCCCGGAGCAGCGGCGGCCAGGCTGGGAGCGGCCAGGCCCGGAGCAGCATCAGCCAAGTCCAGAGCAACTAGGTCGGGAGCGGCAGTGACCAGACCCGGAGCAGCTGGTTGTGGAATGAACTAGAGCAACAGAGGCCAGGTCCTGAGCAGCCAGGCCCAGAACAGCTGGCTCCTTGCCTGTCCCTGCCCCACGGCTGCTTCTCAGACATGGCTGGAAACTTTCGTGGGAACTTGAGGGTCTGCTGAATCAAGTGATGAAGGCTTAGATCTGGATGTGTTGAGTTAGTTTAGGACTGGGGTGTTGATCTGTGAGTGCCTTGGGTGGGGCCTGGATGAGGCTGGTTGACCTAGTGGGAAATGTCTTTTGTGTGAAGTGTATCATTGGGCATGTGGAGGTATTATTGATATGAGAAAATGCTAAGTAACTGATTTACTGTCTGAAAAGGGATTTACTATTGGGGAAATTGAGGGAAGAAGAGAGTGAACATAAACTGCACCTATGGATGAGGACAATGGGGGATGGGTGGGGGGACGGAGGGTGGGGTGGGAACCTGGTGGAGGGGGGAAGAAATGAGGAACCTTTGTAATAATATGAACAATAAAGATTGATTTAAAAAAAAAAATAAAAAAAAAAATTAAAAGGCTAATATGCAAAGTGTCCCCACAGGATTTCCACCAGAAAACCAGAGTTCAACCGCTCGCTATGACATGCACTCACCACCAGGGGGCAGCGCAGAATGAAGGAAGGCCCCAGCTGGTAGCTGGATGGCCCCAATTGGCCCTGATCACCAGCCAGGCCTAGGGACCATACTCATGCACCAGGCCTCTAGTATCTAATAAAGATAGACATGTGTTCGACCTACTATATTTAATTGGAAGTTACAGTTTTTTATACTGTTTATATGGTCAAAAAATCTATAAATATCTTCTGTTGTAATTTATATATAGTTTGGTATAAGTTAATAAATATTAAAGTTTTAATTCAATGGAAAGTCCTACCTAATAAAGAGGGAACATGCTAATTGATCCTCATGCTGTTGCAAAGATGGTGGCCCCTACAGCCAATAAAGGAGGGAATATGCTAATCGACTGCCATGCCCTCAAAATGGCAGTGCCCACAGCCACAAGATGGTGGCTTCCAGTCCCCTCAGCCCCGCCAGGCACGTGGCAAGGCCTCCAGAGTCCCCCAGTCCCCTCAACCCTCAGTCCCCCAGGGCTGGCCCAAGGCACAGGCAAGCCTCAGATGGCAGCTGCCCAGCCGCTCAGGGCCACCAGAGGCTCAGGTAACCAGGGCCAGCCGAGGCTTGCACTACCAGCAGTGGCAGCAGCAGAGGTGTGATGGGGCATTGCCTTCCCCTGATTGCCAGATCGCTTCCCACTCTGTGAGAGGGGGCAGGCCGAGCTGAGGGACCCCCCCTTGCCAGTGTATGAATTTGCATGCACTGGGCCTCTAGTATTCCATAAAGAAACAATACAAAATAAAGTATAAATCAATCAATAAAAAAGAAATGGCAAGAGTGTGGAAATATGTGTGCATATATACACAAGTTAACTTCAGCCATTTTTCTCTTTTGGTTTGTATGGAGACAGATGTATAAGAGACAATGAGATTTATCCACAATTCTAAAGAGGTGAAAAGGTGAAGGTAGAAAAGAGTGATATACTGTTTTAACTAAATTATTCATTTAACCCTAAAACTGCTGTGGAATTTATGTCATTTTTTCCAGTTTATAGATGAAGTATCTAAAGTTAAGAAAGATCAGGGAGCCCTAGCTGGTTTGGCTCAGTGAATAGAACATCAGCCTGCGGACTGAAAGGTCCTGGGTTAGAGTCCAGGTAAGGGCACATGCCTGGGTTGTGGGCTTGATCCCCAGTGTGGGACATGCAAGAGGCAGCCGATCAATGATTCTCTCTCATCAATGATGTTTCTATCTCTCCCTCTCTCTTTTTCTCTGAAATAATATATATATAAAATTTAAAGAAAAATCAGGAAACTACCCCAAACTGGTGGCTAATACATGATTTTCCACTCCTTTCTGCCCTATCTGCTCTTTTTTATTTAATCCTAAATTGGACAAATTATTCTATGGAACCAATTGTTTATCCAGTAGAAAAAGAAAAAGCAATAATTTTATCACTGGCCCCTAAGTACTGTGAAGGGGACAGTATCCATCCTGTCACCTCAAGAGCTTACTAGGTAGTACCTACCACATTACAAGCATTCAATCATTGTTGAATGAACGAATTTTGGAATAGAAGTACAACTAGTTGAAACAAAGTAAGTCATAAGGCAATAGAACTATTTAAATAGGAATTATAGCCACTAAAGTAGGTGTTCAAAATGAAGTAGTTACATCTAAAATAAAGAACACAAATAAAAAATTTTATTGCTATCTATTAAGTTATCCAGATATCACATAACTATATACCAAAGTATCCTAGTCATATTAGATGACTCACATTAATGCCTGCTTGGTAAAGATATAAGCCACTGTCCTTTATACTTGGATAGTAAAAATGAACCAGTAATTGGGGAAGGTAATTATGCATATAAAATTTCAAAGGAAATACATTTCAGAACATATATTTTGGCCAACATCTGCTCCATGTGTACATATTATTGCATAAGAAAAATAGGGCTTCTCCTTTGCATCTTGGGGATTTTAAAAGAACATGAAATAAGTTAAACTATCATTCCATCCCATTTTCAGAGGAGCATTATGTTACAGGCAGTAAACAAATTCTTGTTAATATTAACACTACTCTCTGAAAGCATTCTTCTAGTATCACTATACTTTTCTTCAGGCCCCCCTCTGCTTCATAAAAGAAAGTAAGCCAAGTTGTTTGTTATGTTTCTGTATTGTTTCCATAGCAAAGGTCTGTGCCTGCTTAATTTAACTAAAGCTGGAGGGTTAAAGCCCGAAGGACACTATAGGACAGACTAGAGCAGTTTCAATGAGTAGTTCTATTATCAGTTCTACTGAATTACTTAGGGGGAAGGGATTCCAATATATTAGAATATGACAGCACATTGTAGGGATACTAAAAATATAAAATTAAATTTCCATACTATAAACTGCTTCAAAGTGAAAATGCACACATAAAATATCATATAAAATATCATCACTTGCATAACTCACGGACACAGACAATAGTGCAGTGACGGCCTGGGGTGGGATAGAACCAGATGGAGGAAGGTAAAGGGGGAAAATAGGGGACATCTGTAATACTCTCAACAACAAAGATAAATAAGTAAAAATAGTTAATGAAACTACATAAATAGATATGGAAGAGGAATGGGGAAAATATACAAAAATAACTAGTAGTATACTCTGGTGATTTTTTTTTTCTCATTTGATTTCTAAATTGCTGTAATAAATAATATTTCTTTAAAAATAATTTTTCTCTAGAATTTCCCCAGTGCAGAGTCAAATCAGGAGGAATATTTTTAAGCCTAGCAAAAATAAAACACACAAAAAAGAACCCTCAATGTGGAAGTGCTGCCATATCAACAAGGACATAAAACCTCAACAGAAGCATTATAGTTTTGAATTTTCTCTCTCCACGCTCAGTAGTACCTAACTGAATAGACTCCATCATTAACAGATGTATGGTATCTACATACCTTCACAACAGGGTGTCCACCAGTAGATGCTTTTACTGCTCCTCGGCTACCTTCAGTTTCATAATGGGCTCGATGATGAGTTTTAGGTTGCACTTCTATTTTTAGTTCACATTGTCCAAAATGAGTAGGTAAAGGCCAGTCTAGTGGAGGTAATGAAGATGTGCTATAAACAAAACACAGAAAGACACATTTCACTAAGCTATTATTGCCAAGCAGTGATTCAAATCACTTCTTCCTGTGGTCAAGTAAAACTTCACTTAATAAGTTACACCATCCTATATGGTGGATGTTTAAGAAATAATGGATTTTAATGATCACTTCTTAACCTGAAGAATAAAATTGATTTTATCATCTTTAGTTTCCTGTATCTTTTAAAAAAAGGACAAAATCTAACATTTGTAAAACTATAACTGTGTATAAAAACCTATAGATCCTGTGTCTCAGGATGTATATCCTCCTCCCTGGTGTCTATAAAAGTCAGTCTACTATACATGTTGCTCTCCCCATTTCCTTCTATTGCTCTTTACCCTGTCTCTCTGAAATAATGATTATAGCTAGCAATGTACTGTAGTTTGAGGTAAAATTTTAATTTTAGTACATACTTGGCTTTAAAAATATAAGGCCTATCACTGCAGCATTTCAAATGATCAGTAAGATAATTTCAACAGCTTAAAGGGCTACAGGTTCATTTAGATATACTAACATTGAAAATGCAGAATCGGAAAAGAACCATTTTATATAGCTATAGGTCAAATGTTAATGAACCCAAAGCCAGAATGATTTGTATTAAAGAAATATCTTTTCGCCCAGCTGGCGTGGCCTACAGACCAGGAGGTCATGGTCTGATTCCCAGTCAGGGCACATGTCTGGGCTGCAGGCTTGACCCCAGCCTGGGGGTGCAGGAGGCAGCCCATCAATGACTCTCTCTCATCATTGATGTTTCTCTCTCTCCCCCTTCTCCCATGCTCTCTTAAATACACTGAGAGGCCAGATTATTATGATCTCTGAACGCATAATAATCTGGCCACTCAGTGTGTGTGTGTGTATCCTGTCCTATCTAAAAAGAGAGTAATATGCAAATTAACCATCACTCCAACACACAAGATGGCTGCCCCCATGTGGATGCAAGATGGCTGTTACAAGATGGCCCTCACAAGATGGCCAGCAGGGCAGGGCAGTTGGGAGGGACCTGCAAGGGAAGGCAGTTGGGGGCAATCGAGCCTGCAGGGGAGGGCAGTTAGGGGTGACCAGGCTGGCAGAGGAGGGAAGTTGGCTGTGACTGGGCCTTCAGGGAAGGACAGTTGGGGGGGACCAGGCCTGCAGGGAAGGGCAGTTAGGGGCAATCAGGCTGGCAGGGGATTGGTTAGGAGGTGATGAGGCGGGCAGGCAGAATGGTTAGGGGCAATCAGGAAGGCAGGCAGGTGAGCAGTTGGGAGCCAGCAGTCCTGGATTGTGAGAGGGATCCCAGACTGGAGAGGGTGCAGGACGGGCTGAGGGACACACACCCCTGTGCACGAATTTCATGCACCAGGCCTCCTCTAGTGCGTGTGCACGCACACTATAGGCCCAGTACATGAATTCATGCATGGGTGGGGTCCGGCCAAGCCTGGCCAGGGAGAGGGGACATGGGCAGTTGGCTGGCCTGCCTACTGGCCGAACTCCTGGTTGAGGGGACAATTTGCATATTAGCTTTTATTACATAGGATATATACTGAGTGGCCAGATTATTATGTGTTCAGAGATCATAATAATCTGGCCACTCAGTGTATATATTTTTTAAAAGTAATATCTTCTCAATGACTGGTATGGGACTTTTAAGGTCTTTTCTACCTTCTAAAATGCTATTATTTCTACTGTAAATTTCTAAATTATTTCATTGATTTTTTAAAATATATTTTATTGATTTTTTAGAGAGCGGAAGGGAGAGAGATAGAGTTAGAAACATCGATGAGAGAGAATCATCGATCAGCTGCCTCTTGCACGTCTCCTACTGGAGATATGCCCCCAACCAAGGTACATGCCTTTGACAGGAATCGAACCCAGGACCCTTCAGTCTGCAGGCTGATGCTCTATCCACTGAGCCAATCCAGTTTCAGCTATTTCATTGATTCTTGACTGTCCTCAGTCTAGCTTTACAGGATACTATGTAACTCAAACAGTATTAATTTTTATTACTCTCAGCTAGTTTCTGCAATTGTACTACAGACTTAAACAAATGCCTAATAAGATTAAGATTATTTTCAGAAGCAGAGTGATAATCTCAAAGGTATCTTCAGAACTATAATTTTACATTATATTTTTCTAAAGATCTGGATATATAAATAAACGTTCATACCAGTGAAAAAGCTTTTTGAACAAAGTAAACAAACCCAACTCTACATGGTGATTTAATACATGGTAAAGTTGTCTTTTCTAATCAATTATATACTAGAAAGATTCTATAAGTGGTGGTATTGTTATGACTCATTAGCCATTTGGAAAATGAAGTCATTAGACTATTCTTTAGTCCTTAGCTGGACTCGAGTCTATATTAATATTATACATATAAAATTTATAAATACAATATATAGTACAAACACTATAAATATTTATAATATAAATATATTATGTTACATGCATATATTTATACATATAAAAACTATTAGAAACATGTGAAAATTATATTTTTATCTATCTTTAAATTATTTTAGAGTGGAGTAAGGCTTTCAAATATAACACAAAACTCAAAAGCCATAAATTTGAATACATAAAATGTTAAAATTCCTCTACACAGTGAAAAAAAAATCACAAATTTATGAAGTTAAAAGACAAAAATTAGGGTATAAAAACCACTTGCCACAAATATGAAAAGGCAAATTTCATTTTATATTGAACTCTTAAAATATAAAAAGCTTATTCCCAATTAATTTTACTAGTAACTTAATTCATACTATAATCCATCTTTTACAAAAACCTTTTTTAGGTAAGAAAATTTCTTCTAGCCCTGGCCTGGTAGCTCAGTTGGTTAGAGCGTTGTCCCAATATGGCCAAGGTTGCAAATTCGATCCCAGTTCAGGGCACATACAAGAAACAACCAATAAATGCATAAATAAGTGAAACAACAAATGATGTCTTTCTCTCTCTCTCTTTCTCTCTGTTTCTGTCTCTCCCTCCTCCTTCTTCTCTCTCTCTCTAAAAATCAATAAATTACAAAAGAAAATTTCCCCAGGGATCCTTAAATTAATTTGTTATCTACAATTCATTATCTATACACTTTAAAATTATAACTTTAGCCTATCTAAAAATACTTTTAAGACTCAGAAGAAAATAAATGCAGACTTTATTTATCTAGAAGAAACAAAAAACATAAAAGAGAATAAAAAATGGTCAAACCATTTCATATAGATAATGTAGTTTACATGCCACCAATAATCCATAAGTATAAATGACAGGCAACCATTTCATCAACTCACCGAAATATAGGGGTGTGGCCAGGCTTGGGTTTGCTCCAGGTAAAGGGTGAAGGAACTGAAAGAAAGTGGTCACCAGATGAATCTTTCTTTAAAGGATACTGAGATCCAAGGCCATCATCTACTGAAGTCTCCCGGGATGGTGATAAATTCCCTTGGTCATCTGAACAGAGCTCTAAGTTTCCTGGTAGTACAGTAGCTTGATCTTCAGAAGTCTTCCTTGTTTTTAGAGGGATATCAGTCTCTACATAGTACTGAAATGGTGGAAGAAGTGCTGGACCAAGGCCTGATCCACCCTGGACAGAAGCATTGAGCCAGGTATCTTCCGTTACACTTCCCCTGGGGGAGTGACCAGGAGAAGGAACAGGTGAGTGATGGGGTGAAAGGGACCCAGCATAACAAACCTCAGCACTAGAGTGTCGCCGTTTCCCACAGGGGGAAGTAGGCCTTGATGAGGGTCCTGAGGCTGGCCTGGGGCTCAGCCAATTCTCATCAGTGATACTAGATCTAGGAGAGTGACAAGGAGATTGCCTGGGTGACAGTGAGTGTCCAAGTCCATATTGTTGATGCCAGGATTCTTCTCCAGGGCAGCCCCCTGGAGAGCCACCAGGAGAAGTCAGAGGGGATCCAAGAGTAAATCGGGCAGCAGCTTCATTCAATTCTGAATCCACATCATCATAAATATGTGAAAGAGATTCACAAGAAGATGCATCTGAGAACCAGCTTCTAGAAGAGATGCTGCTGGCAGGACTAGGACTAAGGGAAGACTCACGGTAAGATGGCTCAAGAGGAAGATAGAGATGATCTCTAGAAGGTCTTTCCAAATATTCCTTTTCTGGGTCATTTATGTGTAGGTCATCTTCATGAGCATCTACTTCTTGATGACAATTAGGAGAGATGGATGTGATTTGAATACTTGGGCACTCAAAGGGTTTGGGACCACCTAATGAGCTGTATTTAGATTCTGGAATCTCACAAGTTCCTTCATAGTTTTTGTGACCTTGGAGCTGAAACGATGATGACAAAACAGAAGGGTGAGACGGTAATCCATGATGTGGTAAGCAAAGTGGTGAGTTTAAAGTAGATGGAGGTGGATCTACATTAAAGATGTAAATGGATGCACAATCATCTGGTTCAAGATCTATGAAGGGGAAGCAAAAAAAAAAAAAATCAATGAAACAAGAAATTAGAAAATTTAGATGTATATAAATTACTAGATGAGAAAGTAAATAATAATAATCTTGAGAGAAAAAAGGGGGACATAGGAGTACATTAGCTCCATTAAGAGTGGTATAGCTGATATAGCTCAGTTGGTTGAGTGTCATCTCATGGACCAAAAGATCACTGGTTGGATTCCTGGTCAGAGCATATGCCTGGGTTTTGGCCTCAGTCCCCCGTAAGGGTGTGCAGGAGGCAACCAACAGATGTTTCACTTTTACATAGATGTTTCTCTTTCTCCCTTTCTTTCTCTCTAAATGTCAAGAGTGATATGTTTAACCAAATGTACTGGTTATTTCCATAGATATATATATAACGTTTTTCTATTTTCATACTTTTTAAAATGAGAATCACAAAACATTATCTGAAAACAATAATTGTTTTACCAAAAAAAATCATATTCATAATTCTAAAAAAATATTCATAGAATTATAGAATGATATAATTATACAAATTCAGCCTCATCTGGAGTCTGTAGGCTAAAGCAGAGTAAAAAGTAAAACTGAGTTTTTGAAAGGTTTTTAGTTGTAAGGTATACACATTAAGTTTATTCATGAAGCCGAGACCTGTTTGGCTCAATGGATAGAGCGTCGGCTTGGGGACTGAAGGGTCCCGGGTTTGATTCCGGTCAAGGGCATGTACCTTGGTTGCGGGCATATCCCCAGTAGGGGATGTGCAAGAGGCAGCTGATCGATGACTCTCTCTCATCGATGTTTCTAACTCTCTATCTCTCTCCCTTCCTCTCTGTACAAAATCAAAATATATTTTTTTTAAAAAGTTTATTCATGAAAAGGATTATGGACGCAACTCAAGAGATCAAGACTCTAGTCTACCTGTACCATTAACAGTGAGCTCTTAATCAAATCACTTAATCTCTCCAAGGCCTTAGTTTCCCTGCAGTAAAATTCATAACTTTTCTTTGTGTTAAGTAAATTTTTATGATTATCAGTAACAGCTTTTTCTTCCACAGTCACACCATCAAGATTCATACCTCTGGTCATAGCAGACCAGGTTATGAAAGTCCTGCGATGCCACTGGGTCATTTATCTCAACTAGAAAATAATTCACTGGAGCTTTGACTTACGATTGATTGTTAAAGCAATCCTAACAAGGACAGAACTTTTTAAATGCACCCCTTGCTGGAGTATTTAACACTAAACAGCTCTGGCAAATTACCAACTGATAGTGTTTGTAGCAATAAGGATATTTTGCAACACCACTTTTAGGAAAAAAGTAATTATTATCCATTTTCACAGAGGCAGAAGTACTAAGCCCTAGTATAAGGTACTGGTTGAATACCTTCACTTTTTCCAAAGAGATAATCATTGGGAAACCAAAGATAAAACTGTTCATAAATACAAGAGAGTGAAGCACCACCTCTTCTCAAAAGTACTCAAGATCACATTGTTTTATTACATTAGTACCCCCATCTTTAGACTTCTTGTGTTGCTATGATTAGCCAGCATCCTACTATTTAACTATTTCCATAAGTCCTAGATTTCTGAGGCTGTTTTTTCTATTAAAATGATGTGAGGTAAGTGGAGTATCACTGGAAACATGAAGGACTATTTTTAAGACAAGCAATCTAATACAATGACTAAGAGTAAGAACTCAATACATGACAACTACCGTCTTTCCCTTTTGAAAATTTAAGATGGGTATGCTATATTTTATTTTAACTCTAAAACATTAAATTGGCCGAGACCGGTTTGGCTCAATGGAAAGAGCGTCGGCTTGGAAACTGAAGGGACCAGGGTTCGATTCCGGTCAAGGGCATGTACCTTAGTTGCGGGCATATCCCCAGTAGGGGGTGTGCAAGAGGCAGCTGATCGATGACTCTCTCTCATCGATGTTTCTAACTCTCTATCTCTCTCACTTACTCTCTGTACAAAATCAATAAAATATATTTAAAAAATAAAATAAAAAATAAAACATTAAATTGAATTTTTAAAAGTATACTACTTACAACACTTACTGAATCAAGAGAAATAGAAAGTCAGAGCTCCAAAGTAGTAAACCCCTATTTGAATGGGATAAAAAGCTAGAGGAAAGAGTTATTAAAAAATAAATAACCTCCTTAGCCGTGGATAGCTCAGTGAATAGAGCATGGGTCTGTGGACTGAAAGTTCCCAGGTTCAATTCTGGCCAAGGGCACATGCCTGAGTTGTGGGCTCGATCCTCAGTAGGGGGCATGCAGAAGGCAGCCGATCAATGATTGATTCTTTCTCATCATTGATGTTTCTATCCCTCTCCCTCTCTCTTCTCTCTGAAATCAATAAAAAAAATTTTTTTTTTAAATAAACAACCACAAAGAAGAGATTTGGGGGAAAAATGAGGAGTGACTACTAATGGGAACTGGGTATCTTTCTGGAATAATGAAAATGTACTAACATTGATTATGATAATAGTTGCACTATTCTGTGAAAATAGTGCAAACTAAAAACTGCCCATTAGTAGATGAGTGGATAATAAATCTGTGGTACATTTACACAGTGGAATACCCTTCAGCTATAAAAAAGGAGCTCTTGCCGACCTGTGTGGCTCAGCTGGTTAAGCATTAACCTATGAACCAGGAAGTAATGCTTTCATTCCCAGTCAGGGAACATGCCCAAGTTGCAGGCTTGATCCCTGGTAGGGGGTGTGCAGGAGGCAGCCAATGATTCTAATTGATATTTCTATCCCTCTCTCCCTCTCCCTTCCTCTCTTTGAAATCAATTTAAAATATTCAAAAGAAAAGGAGCTTTACCCTTTGAGACAGCATAGATGGACCCGGAGATTATTATGCTCAATGAAATAAGCCAGTCAGAGAAAAACAAGTATCCATGATCTCACTTATATGTAGAATCTAATGAGCAAAATAAACTGACAAAATAGGTCCAGAGATATGGATACATAGAACAGCCTGACAGATCTCAGAGGGGAGAAAGGCTGGGGTGTGGGGGGAGATTAACCAAAGAATTTATATGCACATGCATAGCCCATGGACACAGACAATAGTGTGGTGAAGGCCTGGGGTGGAGTGGGGGCTGGGTGGAGGGGGACAGAAAGGGAGAGAGGGGGATTGGTCTTAAGTCAGTTTCTCCAATCAAGATGTATTTTTAAATTTAGTAGTAAAATAGCTCTATATGAACTATGGTGTTTCTAGGCTTCAAATAACCAGAAAACCCCATTCAAAGCAGCTGAAAAGGGGGGATGGGAGAGGTTACTTATTATCCAATATAACAAGAGGTCCAAAAGTAGGACAGCTCCAGAATTGGTTATTTCATCAGTTGAACAAAATCACCAAGAAATCAGTTTCTTTCTACATCCACATTATTCCACTTTTTGGGGTGCTAACTTTGTACTATTCACTTCAACCATACATGTGTATTTGTCCTAAACAAGAAGCAATGTGATCACTTAGTTAATAGTTATTTTTTTAGCAGCCCCTGATAGCTGTATGTTCTTGACACTGGAAACAGGATGTGAACAAGAGTACACAAAACAAAGTCCCCATCCTCACAGAACTTATATCCTAGTGATATGTATCAGGTGGTGACAGCTGATTTAAGGAAAATTAAATAGGGTAACATGAATAAAGTAAGAGAATGAGAGGAAGTTATTTTAAAATATATATTTTATTGATTTTTCTTACAGAGAGGAAGGGAGAGGGATAGAGAGCTAGAAACGTTGATTAGAGAGAAACATCGACCAGCTGCCTCTTGCACACCCCCTACTGGGGATGTGCCTGCAACCAATGTACATGCCCTTGACCGGAATCGAACCTGGGACCTTTCAGTCCGCAGACCGACGCTCTACCGCAGAGCCAAACCGGTTTCGGCGAGAGGAAGTTATTTTAGATATGGAAGTCTGGAAAGGCTCTTTCTCCAATATTTGAGGAGCTATCAAAAGGATATTTGGAACTGAGCTATACAAAATCTAGGGGAAGAACACTGCAGGTAGAGGAAATAGTGTGGGCAAAGGTCTAAAGATGGAGGCTGGAGTAGTTTTGGAGTATGTGAGAAAAAGCAAGAAAGTCAGTGGGGCCCAGCCAGTGTGGCTCAGTAGTTGAGCATTGACCCATGAACAAAGAGGTCACTGGGAGAAATGGGGAACATCTGTAATAGTGTCAACAATAAAAAATAAAAATAAAAAGGTGGGGATGAGGGGGGCGGGCACTAGCTAGTCAAGTATGGCCTCATAAGCCAGTAGAATGAATGGTTTATATTAGAACCCACTGTAGGGTTCTAAGCCAAGGAATGTCATGATCTCATATACATTTAAAAGACTACTGCAATAATCCACATACAAAATAACAGAGCATAGGACTTGGGTGGTGATGGTTTGCAAAAACAGAAAAGCAGTAAGAAATAAAGTGGGGTTGTTTTTTTTTTATATTTTATTGATTTTTTTACAGAGAGGAAGAGAGAGGGAGAGAGAGTTAAGAACGTCAATGACAGCCCTCGCCGGTTTGGCTCAATGGATAGAGCGTCGGCTTGGGGACTGAAGGGACCCGGGTTCGATTCCGGTCAAGGGCATGTACCTTAGTTGCGGGCACATCCCTGGTGGGGGGGTGTGCAAGAGGCAGCTGATCGATGACTCTCTCTCATCGATGTTTCTAGCTCTCTATCTCTCTCCCTTCCTCTCTGTACAAAATCAATAAAATATATTAAAAAAAAAAAAAAAAAAAGAACGTCAATGACAGAGAAACATCCACCAGCTGCCTCCTGCACACCCCCTACAGAAGATGTGCCTGCAACCAAGGTACATGCCCTTGACCGGAATTGAACCTGGGACCTTTCAGTCTGCAGACCATCGCTCTACCACGGAGCCAAACCGGTTTTGGCTTTTTTTTTTTTTTTTTTTTATTGATTTTTTTAAAAGTGTTTTTTAGCCTAGGTCTGTTTGGCTCAGTGGTAGAGCGTCGGTCTGCGGACTGAGGGG